CTATCTTGTATTCAACAGCTTGTATTGAAATGTTCCCTCTTGGGACATTATCACCTGGGATTTCAGACTGTTAATATACTAGTTCTTGTTCTCACTGCCATATAATGTTCCACAATAATGTCTTTGAACTTCCCACATCACAATATATTTGTTAATCTGAGGGCAGGGATAATTTCTGTATCTCTTTTGAACTATTGTATCCCTGGTGCCAAGTATAATATTTGAAAGTTGTTTTTTAATGAAATTGTATTGAATTGAACTTGTATTTTTCATTTTTTAATTGTCAAATAAAAATTGCACATATTTATATGCACAGTGAAATGTTTCATACACACACATTGTGGAATGGCTAAATCAATCCATTAACATATGCATTATTTCACATATACATATTTTTTGTGGTGAGAATATTAGAAATCTACTCTCAGCAATTTTCAAGGGAACAATGTATTCTTATTAAATATAATCACTATAATATACAATAAATATCTTATGAATCAATATCTGTATTCTGTTGTTGTCAATACTAGGGTATATATCTCATTATTTCACTTGTGTTTTATTCAGGTAGCTGGATTCAAACCATCCTTTCAGATTCTATGTTAATCACAAATACCTAAAAGCTATACTTCTTTATTTAATTCTCTTTTTCAGTCTTCCCTTTTAATGCCTTTGGTATAAATATCACTATTCCTTGTTTGATCTGAAACAGTCATTCCATGAGGACAAGAGAGAGGAATTATTTCTAAACAGGATAATGAAAGTTAGATTACAAATGTTCCACACTTTCAGAGATAGCAAACAATTTCCTTCACAAGAGTAAAGAGAGACTTTGATGTAGCTTATGTTTATAAAGTGAAAAATTATCTTTGGTTAACATTTAATAAAGATTTTGAACATCAAAATCTAGAACATCAAAGATCATTGAATCCAAGAGGCCTACTGCATTTCAGTTTTGGATCTTGTAAAAATATTAAAAGCATGTCTCTATGATGTAATTATTGAACATTGTTCATATTATATAAAGTATCAAAAAAACATTTTTTATTGGCTTAGAAAATGGAGAGTTACACTGCTTGACAGACTAGTCTTAACTTTTGGATGTTACCTAGCATCTATGCATAAGTTTCTTATAAATAGGTGAAGATAGGAGTGGCTGACAGCAGACAAATTGAAAAGCATAAGATCTTTATATGGCCCTTAAGAAAGTATAGAAGGAATGTATATCATGATATTTACATTAGCACTGAGAAAGTGAGAATAGTAGTTTTTTCCCCTAGTTTTCTTATCCTACTTCTAATGAAAAGTCACTTCATGTCTGTTTCTCAAAACTTCAGCACATGCTATTTATTATTACATCTTAATTTTTTATTGTTTTCTTTTTTTCACTTTCATTTGATAATTCACAGAATGATCAGTTGGTACTCCAACTAATGGCATTGGAGGAACCTCCAATGATGACCAATGAAGCTTTTTAAATAGCTGCATATCATTATAAACAGATCAGTTTTTATATATTTAATATACTTTAAACAATTACAGTCTTAACGATTTTTGATGTCCCAAATAACTCATCTTTTATCCCATGGGGGCCTTTTTAGGTTGGCTCCAGGGTTCTGTTGATGCAATCCCATTAGTCTTGTTCAACTTTCATTTGGCAAATGTTCCGATCCAAATCTAGAATAAGGTATTGTTTCTGATGAAAAATGATACTTAGAGATATTTGAAGCTCTTAGAGTTCTTGTTTCTTTTAGGCTGTAAGATTTGTCAGTGGATAGATTTTGGAAATATATACTATAATTTTTATGAAGAAAAAACAAATCATATGTTTGTATTGCTATTTTCAATTCAAAATTGGGCAACTGGATTTTAATTAACATCCTAAATGTTATAACTCAAAATGTTTCATCTTCTAAAATTGTGGTTCCTAATGACCAGAGCATAATTACTTATTTGCTTCATATTACTGTATATACATAATAGTTTCAAATGAGAATATAAATATCACCTCTAAAACTGTTATTAATAAGTTCAATTTAAGGCTTATTTTTGATTTTTGTCCTTTGGATGTATCCAAGTGGGAAGACAAAATCTAACTATAGATATACCTGGACAATCCTGTCACCTTCTTCAAAATATTAGAATATCCCTTTACCCCCTTAATGAATATTCACATTCAGTGTATACTCATTCAATTTAATGATTTTGGCTGAATGATTTTAGAAATCTCTCATCTTTTAAATTTAGATGCCTTGAAGTCAAAAAAAGTCATGCAAGAAATATTTTTGAATTCCATTTAAAATAGAATGTCAGAATTTCAGAAGTATATGATCTCAGGAAAGTAATCATTGTCAGCAAAAACCACTGAGATGTTGCTAGCACAAGGCAACTCACAGTAACACTAATTGAAAAAAGTGTCTGATGCTTTGCATTTGTTCTGATTTTTCTTTTTCAGTGCTTTCTTAGTTAGCCCTTGATTTTATTTCTCTTGAACCATATTTAAAATAAAAAAATTGAGATGTGTTGAGTGAATGCAAACGAGAATTAAAAAAAAGTCTTGATAAAGGAGCACATTGCAAAGATATAGGTATGCTGAAGATGCCAATTACAACAGCACATACTAGCATCATAATGAGTAAACAGGAATTTCAGGAAGTTATGTAGATAGTATATGATAGTAAAATGTACAATATAAAAAGAATGCCTATTCATTGATAGAAAATGCCTATTCATTGATAGAAAAACTTGCAAAATAACTAGCAGAACAGACTAAGGGTGATAGTGACATGCCTTTCTTCACTAAGTTGATCCAACTAAATAAAGGAAGTGATCTTGCTTGAAGGTGAGATGAAGACTGTGGAGGAGAGACAAGTCAGCAAAGAGAGAGATCTTGAAAGCCAGCCTTACATGGTTCAACAGATTCAGGAGTCCTACCATGGTCCATTGCATCAAAATGGTAGAGGGGGAAGCATAGTTGACATTGAGGCAGCTGAATGTAACTGTCTCATTTATGAAGCTTATTGATGAATAAGACAATACCAATAACTACTTTCTATGTAGATGAGATAGAATTATGTTGGAAGCACAGTCGATGTGATGTTTTTAATCTCTCAGAAGAAGATGCTTGGTCTCGAAGACTCCAAGGACAAGCTGACTTTAATGTTCAAAGTTAATTGAAAGATGGTAAGTTCAAGACCTTATTAGTGCAATACTATAAAAACCTCCAGGCTGTTAAAAAATGACTGAAGGAAAATTGCCAATTATTTGGAGGTTGAATTACAAAACCTGGGTCAAAAAAGAGGTTTTTCTGGACTATGTAAACTAATGTTTGTTTCCTTCATAGCGTATTACGTAGCAAAACAAATATCACAAAGAAGGCCTTGCTCAATATTGACAATTCTTTTAAACACATGGCCAATTTCATTGAGCATACTCATAATTTTCAAAATATTTTCTTACTCTGAATACTGTGTATTACAATCCATAGACCAGAGAGTTCTGACAGCTTTCGAGGCATATCTGCTTAATGTTAAGATGCTATCTTTCTTTACATGTATGTCAACCAAAAGATTCACTGGAGGTTTTTGGAAAGGTTTTGATTTGTAATCAAATCTCTAGAGTTCATTGGAAAAAAATCAGCAAAGATTCTCTCCATGAATAATAAGTGCCATACAGATGACACTATCTGTGTACCCTATCTCCACTTCCACGTCCCTAAAAAAGATGGCAAGCACAGGGATAAAAATGTTGTTCTTGAAAAGAAGCCTAGCTTTAAAGACGTTAATGAAAATCATATTATGCATTCTTGTATTTTACTTGAGAGGTGACACATACTCTTTATGGAATGAATAAAATTTACTACAGTAAATTTTTCTTTTTTTATTATAAATTTTTTCTGTATTTGAAAAAAATTTTAATAACTGTTATAGATATGCTATATTGCAAATGTAATATTTATGATGAAAAGTACAAACAGTACATGTAACTGCATATAGCACAACTGTTTAACTCTCATTACTTATTGAACAAAGAGAGATTTTAAATACTCTATATCCAAACCTGATAGTTAATTACATATATATATGTAGAGGAGGAAAATATATATTTATCATGTATATATATATACACTATGTTTTAAATTATATATATATAGGTAGAGAGAGAGATGAGAGAGTTGTTGAGTTTCAGTCCTGCTCTATGACATCTATGACAAGAAAATCTAGGGATTTTCTTGATGTGAAAACCATTAGATCTTTTTTTGTTTTATAATAGTGAAAAAAGGTTTCTGATTATTATTTTCATATGAATTCCTATTTTTTTCAAGAAACGCTTTCTGTTTAAAGTAGAAGATCTCTATTTTAAAGTTACTTGAAATATTTTTCTGTGTATTTATGTCATCAACTAGATATACAATTAAAGTCAGTTCTTTCAGTGTTTAATTTTTAGGATTTAAAAAACTCTTTTGCTTTTGTTTTTTCTCAAATCAAAACTGTCCAATTCTTCCTCCATCCTACTCCCTCTTTTGTGTTGTAGATTACTGTTTTAAATGAGTTTTTGCTTTACTGTGCTACAGTTTCTTTTTAAGACCATATGTAAACAAATATGTTTGATTCTACCTCCCTTTAGAACTTATGACATAGAATGCTATAAATACTCTTTGGCAACATTTGTTTTCTAACTTACACATATGTTGTGAAAATCATACCATAACAGAATATAAGATCTTCATTACTTTTTCTTAAATATCTGCATAGTTATCAACTAGATAGATGTATCACAATATATTTAACACAGCCTCCATTCATGCATTTTGCCAGTATTTTTGTGTGATCAATTAAGTTTGAATTCCAACTTCATTTTATATTTTGCCCATGTATCCCTGGGATAATTTCTGGAAGTGAGCACATATAAAATTTCTCTAGTTACTGCAGAATTTCCTTTATATGGGTGTGTGCTGTTACCTTGCAACCATTAATGACAATATTTGTTACTTACTGGGAATTCTATGTTGAGCACCATTTGGGTTCTCCAATATCATCCATGGTGACATTAAAGTAAGGATTATTTTTTGACTGAGAAACTAGAACTCTTTTCTGGTATCTTTAAGTTCTACGTTCTGCCACATCAGTGACTAACCATCTCTATTATCTTAGATTAAACCTACCTCCAAAATAATATCCTTTGAGTTTTTTCTTAACTTTCTTTAACTTCCTTAACTTTGTTTAATTCTCTCACTTTCACTAACCAAATGATGTTTTTATTCATTTCTTTAAGTATTGTTTCTTTTACTTCAAATTCTTAAAATCCCTTAGCCTCCATAGTAATATTTCTCAAACCACACTACTGAATTCTCTGTGTTCCTCATAATGGCTAGATCATCCCGATATAAAACCACTACAGAATCATGCTATACTCTACCAGCTGAATTTAAAATAATACTCAGAATCACTTCCCTTTTATAAATTTAAAACATAGAGTAAAAAACACATATTCTGGAGTTGGACAGCTATCTGGGCCTGAATTCTGGTCCCAACATCTACTGACTGACTGCCTTATTGTACTATACCTAAAGGTTCTAAGCCTTATTCCTCTGTAGCTTCATCAATGTCTCTCATTTTAGCATGCTTCACTGTCCCCCTTGTCATTGTCTCTTTTTCTACTGCCTTGATTATTTACATGACAATTACTTTTAAAGAACAAAGAAAATACAAAACAGTTCTTTAGGTGTTGAGTTAGTACTACTTCCCAATCTCATGATGATTAGTCATCATAGTATTTTCGTACCACTAAAAAAGAGATTTTTTTGCTTACTTTTTCATGGGCTTTATACTACATTCTAATTTTGAAATGATATCTGCTTCTAGAACTGTCTATATAACTAGGCTTCTATATTCTAATTTCTAGTTCTGCTGTCATAATTTGTAATTATGGACATTTATACTTATCCATACAACTTCAAATTAAATTCATTATTCTTAAATTAGAATTAACTATATTTTCCCATAAGTCATTTCTTTTTCCTCAGATCTTTGTTTTTATGTGATATCATTATTTTGTCATTTAATATTTGTTTTCTTCCTTAGATCCCATACAATCATTTACCATGTTCTACAGTTCCTTTATTCCAAATGTATTTTTCATCTGTGTATTCATCATTCATTATGTAATAAATATTTAGTATTAATATAAAACTACTATATTCCAGTCATTTATATTAAAAACACTTTAGATATTAGAGGACCCAAAACACAGGTATTTCCATCACAGAGATTAATGTCAAATGTAGAAAACAAATAATTAAATAGGCATTAAAATAAATATAGTAAGTTCTAGGATAAAGAACATATAGGATATTAGAGAGAACAAACCAATATTGCCCATGTAGGCTATGAGGGGAAGGGCTTTTTCAAAAAAGGAGGAACTGACTTTCAAATTGAGAACTAAGACATTAGTAGGACTTAACCAAGAAAAGAGAGGAGGAAAAAAAAAATATCCCAGGCATGGCCAGGTACAGTGGTTTGCACCTAAAATCCCAGCACATTGGGAGGCTGAGGCAGGAGGATCACTTGACCCAGGATTTTGAGACAAGCCTGGGCAATAGTGAGATGGAATCTCTACCAAAAATTAAAAATATTAGGCAGGCATGGTGGTATTCACCTGTAGTCCCAGTTACTTGAGAAGTTGAAGCAGAAGTATCGCTTAAGCCCAGCAGTTTGAGGTTGCAGTGAGCTATGATGGTGCCACTGCACTTTAGCCTGGACAAAAGAGGAAATCCTGACTGAAATAAAAGAAATCCTAGGCAAAGGAAATTTCTCTTAGAAATGTGCAGAATTGAAAAGGAACATGGTAATGCTGAGGAAAAATGGGATAATTTTTATGACTGGGCTGTAGTAGGAAAGGGGAAATGGTCAAAGTTAAACCTACAGAAGGGACAAGAAAGGATAGAAGGGAAAGAATGGCCAGATAAAGGACATAATGACTAGCTTAAGGAATTTGAAGTTTAAATTAAGTTAGAGTGAGGGAGATGACTTAATCAGCTCTTTATATTTGAATGCATCTTAGTCTAGCAAAAGCAGAGTATATCCTAGAACCAAGGTGATCAGTTAGGACATTCTTAACAGTCAATGAAATGATAAATAATAGATAATATTTATCTAAGGCAGTAATATTTTTAACAAAGAAACAAATTAATAAATGAAAAACCCCAAATTCCTGTGAGTTAAACAAGAACATAGGTTGGCATACTCTGGCTTGGGTTTACCAACTTGTCTTAGTCTCTTTTTATCTTGCTTATCACAAGAATGCCTTGGGTAATTTATAAAGAAAAAAAAATTACCTTTTACAGTTATAGGAGCTGAAAAGTACAAGATTGAATGGCCCTGTCTGGTGTGGGCCTTCTTGCTGGTAGGGCCTCTCGCAGAATCCCAAAGTGGCACAGGGCATCACGTGGTGAAGGGTATGGGCATGATAGCTCAGGTCTCTCTTTCTATTCTTTGTAAAGCCACCAGTCCCAATCCCATGATAATCCATTAATCTGTCAACCCATTAATCCATCAACCCATGAGTGAATTAATCTATTCATGGAAGCATGAGAGCAAAGCCCTCATGACCCAATCACATCTTAAGGCCCCTATCCCCCCATTACTTCCATATTGGGAATTAAGTTTCAACTTGAGTTTTGGAGTGTACAAACATTCAAACCATAGCATTTCACTCCTGGCTTCCCAAAATTCACATCATTCTCATATACAAAGTAAATACATTCCATCCCCATAGCTCCGAATTTCTAACTCATTCTAGCATCAGCTCAAAGGTCCAAATTCCAAAGTTCCATCTGTGAAATCAAAACAAGTTATTTACTTCCAACATACAATGGCAAGACAGGCATAGGGTAGACACTCCCATTTGAAAAGGGAGAAATAGGCCAAAAGAAAGGGGTAACAGTCCTCAAGCAAGTCTGAAACCCAAGAGGGAAGATATTAAATCTTAAAGATGGAGGATAATCTTCCTTGTTTCCATGTCTAGTATCCTGTGCACACTGGCCTGGTGGTTGGACCCCCAAGAACTTACCAGGAAAGTCCCACCTCCATGGCTTTCCTGGGCTCAGCCCATACCTCAGCAATCTCAGGCTGGTCTTGCATGCTGGTGTCTCTACAGTTCTCAGTTCATGTTGGCAGCCCAGCTCCCATGGCTGGACTAGGCTGGCCTGGGCATTGCCCTGGTGAGGATTCCCTGCAGGGGCTCCACCGCTGCAACAACTCTTTGCCTGAGTCAACAAGTTCTTCAATGTATCCTTTGAAAACTAGATGGAAACTTTCATGCCTCCATAGCTCTTGAATTCTGGGCCTACAACATTAACACCATTTGGGCATCTCCAAAGTTTACAACTTGTACCTTTCGCTGTGGCAGGTAGAGCCACCCTTGGGACCACTTGAGCCACAGCTTCAGTTGCTAAGGGGCACTGTGATGGAATTCAGGGAGCAGAGACCAGAAAGGACCCTGGGCAGCAAAGTCATTTTAATTCAATTTTAGGTATTAATAATATAAAGGTTTAATGATCTAAATAATATACACGATTTTGGACTCTTTCACAAGTTCAAGTAAGAATAAATAACAATGAAATAAATTTCATTTGAACAAACAGAGAAGCTTTAGAAAGTTTGATTCAATGTTTCTTAAGCTTTGATTAGAGTTCTCTTTTTTTGTTTACATAATTCCTTTGGACACCTACAACTTGGCAAACTAAGATTGTTATTCTATGAACAACTGCAGTAGGTTATTACTCAGGCCATTTGATTTCTACTTTGTGAAACAGGAAGAGAAACGTGTATATATGCTTGGAATATGTTATCAGTAGTTCTATTTTATCTTTATATAATAATTCTGCATTTCTTTGTTTTTGCCAATATAACATTCTTCATGTGACATGTAATGATAAAATACATTTATCAACTATTTTATTGGTAAATTTTAAAGAACAGAATCATTTGCAATTGCCACATATAAAATGTTGAAGCAATGCTGTTCATATACCTGCTGGATAAATATTTGACTATAATATCTTATTCATTTCTAGGAATTCTTAAATTAGTAAGAAAAATAAACTGCTAATATGAATTAACAGTTGAAGGGAAAATATTACTGACAGATGTCACATCAAAAAAGTATAAAAATAAAAATAAGCTAACTTTATGGATTGAAGTTAATATTTAGGGAGGTGAACTCTGATGATTTTCCAAGATTAAAGGTTTAATCATAAGAGAATCCAACATTTTCCTTTCCTTCTCTCTGAACAGAACTGAATGTCTTTGTTGCCAGTCTAAATGTTAAGTACTGTTACTCTACCTTAAACTCCACTCCCTTTTTCAGTTGATTCTGCTTGGCTTATTAGCCTCCTGCACTCTGTGGCTCACAAATTCATCAGCTGATTTGAAGGTAAGAAATGCAATGTCAGTCTTACTTCTTTCCACCTGTCGTTTTTCTCAGGGAACTTGTTCTCTTGAATCCTGGCTGCCTTTACTATCTACAAGTGCAATTTTTACCTCTTTATCTCTGTAATATTGCCACAAGTGTTACTGGCTTCCCCTCTCTTTTCTGCTGCCCTCTGTTTGTCTTCTCAGCTACCCTTGAGCCTCACCACATGCCCAGAGTATGCAGAGGCACAGAGGAGAAAAGCACGATACAGACACAGAATGCTGAGCTCACCAGGATCAACTCTCCCTCCTCCTGTGGTGTTGGCTTCTCAGACTGTGGCTGCCTTGGCAGCACTCTGCAGCCTTAAACAGATTTTTATTTTTTGGATATTTTATCCAACTTTTCCCCAGAAAAGTTATACTACGAGCTAATACATAGATACAAAAGGTAAGCTTCTTTGATTGCAATTTAAAATCAACTCTTCGAACTATACTGACTTTGGTCACAAGCCAGACCATTCATCCAACACTTGAATGCATGTATCTGCTCATGACAGCATTTTTGGATATATTTGGAAGATGGAGTCAATAGGATTTGCTCACAGAAAGGATGCAGAGTGTGCAAGAGAGGAGCCAAGGATGATATTAAAGTTTTTGAGCTCAGCCACTGCAAAGTTGTTGTATCACTTACAGGGGCCAGGCTGTAGGGAGAGCTCTTTGAGGAGACAATTATGCAGGTATGTATATATATGAGTCTGAGTTTCAGAAGACAGACCTGGTTGGAGATATAAATTTAGGAATAAATTGATTCAATCTTAATGGATGAGATATATGAATGAAATCCCCTGTGTACTCCAATATAATAATATCCCAGGTACCTGTAATCAAAAATAGAAACCAAGATTGTGAAACTCCTTTTCCTGAAGCCCTCTCAAAATATGGCTGTTTTTAAATCCTGTAACCCTTATAACTCTAGGGCTGAAGCTAGAGTAGGATATTCCTAGTTTCCATTGTTGTTTCCAGTTTCTTTCTCTCTTCTTTCATGCAATACAGCCCAAGGAAGAGAGTTATGATGCAATAAAAAAAGTGAAATGTCTAGCATATGACAACTAAAGATTTTTACAGAAAATTTGCATTGCTATTGCATCCTTTTTTTCTCCTAGGGGTTCATTTTTTCACAATTACACTCTAACTGGCTTTTAGTTAAAAACCAAGTCATCAAACTAACACTGGACACACAATTAATGCAGCCATCTATCAAGTGACTCCCAGTGTTACTTTCCTTCACTTCACAATAAGTTTTGGCCCTGGTTCCATGTTATTCTCTGAAATCCTATTCTATCTTAATTTTTGGTGATTTTTATCATATATGTAGATTATCCTTCCCACACCCTGGTCTCTGAGTTCTAGGAAATATTCTATATCATTGTTATTATATTTAACCCTATCTTAGTCACTCACTCTAGGTTTTGCAATTTCTAGTGGCTTCAATGCCTCCGTAATCTCAGTTTTGAGCTTCCCACTATCTGACCAAAATATTTTACCCTGTATGCTTTCAACTCATTACCTCTAGTACCTCTACTCCAAAATTCTTTCATCCTATAAGTAATCCAGTGTTTCCAATAACTTTTTCAGTTTTCTCCACAAAAATGTTCTTTCTCTTTTCTATATGTGCAGAAAAGAGTTAATTATAGCAGGTCTGAAAGTGCTTATCCTTTAAAAGATCTTCTGTAAGGTTGGTGTTTGGGAACTTAGATTTTGAGAGGTTTTTTTTTACTACTATAATTGATAAAAGTGGCTCATTGTGCCTAAACTGTTCTCAGACACAATGTGGTTTGTGGTGAATACTGACACATGTTCTGAGAATCCAGAATTGTTCTACACATCTAACAGAGAATGCTTACCTGTCAAGCCCCCAACAGAAACCCTGAACACCAAGTTTACAATGAGCTTCTCTTTATAATGATATTTCATAGGTGTCACAACTCTTTGCTGGAAAAATTATTTGTGTCCCATGTGACTCCACTGGAAGAGGGCCTTTGAAAATTTGTGCCTTATTTACTCTGGTCTTTTCCCATGTGCCTTTCCCTGTGTTGGTTTTGCTTTTACTCCTTACTGTAATAAATCATAGCCATGAGTATGACTATTTGCTGACTGTGAGTCCTAGCAAATCACTGAAACTGACATCAGTCTTGGAGAGCAACATGGTGTACTCAACTTACACTTTATGGTCAATCATCCCAATTGTTCTCTTGATTGTCTCTCATTTCCCTTTCCCCATTTTCCCTTCTTTTAACTTACTGGCAGCATCTGTCTAATCCTTATTAATTTAAGGCTTTATTTATTCTGTGGCAGCTCCCATGTGCATGAATATTGCTAGGGGAAAGAACAAACAATAGCGAGTGATTTCATTTTTATTTCACTACCATACAACACAAAAGGCTGCTATTGATGTCTAGCAAAACCTAACTACATTTCTCAAGCATGATGCTTACCTATGCCCCTAGATAAATATTTCACAACTTGCACCCCCTCAATATTTCACTCACTCCTTCCTTATCCTTATTCTCAGCTTTTAAGTTTATTTTTCTGAGAAATTGAAACATACAAAAGTGAACCTTCTATACACCTTCCTAAAAGAATATGCCTTCCCTTCTTGTTACTATATATAAATTCCTACCCAAGGCATTCATGCCTAAACACAATGTTTTTACTTGTGAGCTAGTTGCATTCTCTCTTGCTTTCAAATGCAGAGATTCCATAATTACATGGTTCCTGTCTGCATCATCAACATTTTCCTCCCCACTGTACATACTCCCATCTGCATAAAAACATGCTCTTGTTTGTTTAAAATAAAAACAAAAAGCTTTCCTGACTGCACTTTCTAATTCCAAGAACCCTGCACAATCTTTCTGTTAAATTGATATCTCTATTATGTTTACTCAGTATGTTTGATGTCTCTATTATTTTATTTCTGTTTTTTCCCCCCCTAAATTTGCGCTAAGCAGGCATTTCTCCTCAAAACTCCAGTGAAACTCCTCTTGTCAAGGTCATGAATGACCACCATGTATCTCAATCCAATAGTTAACTCTCAATTGTCATCTTAAATGAACTTCCAGCAGCTTTTAATATAGTCAATCACTTCCTCTTCCTTGACACACTTTCTTTAGTTGGTTTCTACCTGTTTGTTTTCCAATTTCAGCAGCCGCTTCTCAGTCCTGCTATCTAATTCTTTCCTATTCATTAGCTTGATCTCTTCATATTATAGTGATCCACTGATAAATGTTGGGGCTTATATTTTTTTTTCTATTGAGCTAGATAGACATTTCCTAAAGGATGGGTACACACAGGCACAAAAAGACATAAAGAACATTGGAAACTAAGAAGGGGGAGTGTGTGGTGTGAGAGATAGAAATCTCATTTATTGGGTACAATAAACATTCTCCTCATGGCATATACACTGAAAGCCCTGACTTTAGCATTATACGGTATATCCATATAACAAAAACTTTTGTGCCTCCTTAATATTTTTAAATTTAAAAAAATTTAAAAACTAATAAAAGTCAATTCCTTTAATGTATGTTAATTAATAATTAATAATCAATTCTTTATACATGATGTGTATATGTGAAATACATATATTTTATATATAATTTCATGAGATGCATAATTTCAAGTTTCAGCCATTCTCTTTCTCAGATGCCAGATAGTGTGAGAAGAAATCAATCCCACGTGGATTCAGACCAGTTCATAAGACAATCACTAAATAAAAACTAAAATTGTTTAAAAAGTAAAATTGACTTGAGAAATAGAATTTTAAAAAAAACAGCCATCATGCAGCAAGACCTGTGTCTAGCCCTTTCTCACTGGTCTATGATGGAAGAGGGGTAGCAATTTGTGTTGAGAAAACTGAGGAGATAATTTACATCTTAGCCCATTGTGGTTGAATGCCAGTCCTTCACATTCAAAGACCAGGCTTTAGTCAATAACACAACCTTGCCAGATAAACATTAAGGAAGCTGAAGAGGCCAAAGTCTGACACTTTTCTGTGTAGAGACCGATTTAGTCTTTACTTTTATTAGAAGGTGTTGACACTATCATTTTTATTAAGCATTTGATGAAAATATATTGGGTGCCCTTTCATACATACCAACATACAGCTTTTTCCAAGGCTTCTTCCTTTCTCCCCAGACAAGATTTGCAAAACTATAATATAACCTACTGCCCAATTTCAACTTTTTCTTTTATGGATCTGTCCCTGAGGCTGCATGACAGTTTTGCTGAAATTGAGCCAATGCATCTCAGATGATCACACACAGGGTGGTCTGTCTGCAGCTTTCACTTTCCAAACATCCGTGACTATGTGAAATTGCTTTGTGTTGTGCTAGGAGCACCTTCTGCCCAAATGCCTGTGGCTTCCCTATTTCATCTCATCCCTCAACGGATGTTTGGGATTCTCTCCTACAGTCACTGCCACCCTTATCTATGAGAAAAATCCCTACTGTTTGCAGATTCTTTCTTCTAATCCTGCTTGCTAAGTGATTCAGCAGAAGAGCATAGATCTTATCTTTTTCAACTTTGTATTCTGGGCATCTTGTAGAAGTGCAGCATTTTATACAAAAGAAGCACACAATAATGCTTGGTGTGTTTACATGAACTTTCCATTTTGAATATGAAGGAGAGAGAGCAATCACTCTTCTTCCAAACTTCTTTTCTATCCCCAGAAATATCCTCATGAGAAAAAAAAGTGATTCAGGATTCTTTGAGATTTAAAAGGCCAGTTTATTCTATATGCATGTCATGGCCACCTGGTTAATCTCTAAATAGTTAGTAGATTGTAAACACAAACTATAAAATAGCAGAAAAGCACACACTAATTCTTAAAAACAGTATGGTCAACTTAACAAAGATTTGAAAGTGAGAAAATCTATATGTTAATATTAAACCAGACCCTGACCTCAAGTTGTGCTGGAGTTTGTTCCATAATCATAACATTGGTATACCCCATAAAATAGACTCTTAACACATAAACTCCTCCTCAAATTTCCTGGGTCCACTGCTTCTTGAAGAATAGCTCCCCTTACTCTATTTGTTTTCCATAAAGGGCACTTCCCTTAAACCTTATACAATCATCATGCTTCCTGGCTTCAACTTCCTACCATCTACTTAGAGTGATTTGGATGTACTTACTCTCAATGTCCAGGCACACTCTGAAATTTTCTTGGTTTCTCCTCCTTTATATTAGAAAAACAAAAAGCTTGCTCTTCATAAAAGTTCTCTCACTTCTGTTTCCAGAGCTACTCCCCACTCTGTTCCAAAAAAAGAGAAAATCCTCAAGTCTGAGAACTGCTGATTATATATGAGCAATAGGAAACTTAATCATAATGTTGCTGCCACTTACAGATAAAACTTTGTCTTTCAATTTCTTGGTTTTCTTAGGAGTAGGGC